TTTTTCAGCTTATTTTCATTAAATTGAATTATTTGTAACCTAATTTTATAACAATATTGCAATATTGTTCTATTAATTAATTCCTAGGTTAAATATCTTTAATTCAATTCTACCTTAGGTCTAGGTCAGTTTCAATTTGAATAATGGATTTTGATTTAGTATTATTCATTCAATTCCAATTTAATTCAAATTTATTTCTCATTTAGTTCTATTTCAAATGGTTTTGCATTAAAACTTGTAATTTTGTCTATTCCAATTTCCAGTTGATTTGTTAATGATTTCTAATCTTAACGTCTTTATATAGTTTAAATTCAACTGATCTATATATCTAATTTTCTAACTTGATTCCAATTTAATGCAAATGGAATTCTACTTGAGTTTTGCTTCCATTCTAGAGAATGAATATTATTGGTGGTATGAATATATTTCATTAAAGAAACAGTATACTTCCATATTGGAAAAATCATAAAAATCTTTTATGTTCAAAGCAAGATCAATTCCCTAGAAATAAATGCGAATTTCATAAAATCCAAATTTTTAATTCAAAACGAATGAAATATTAGAATTGAATCTGAACTATATAATAATGAAATTAAGGGTAAAATCGAATTATAATTTGGCTTGCATTGAATCCCAATGAAGGAAATTTGAAGCAAAATAGAATTGAAATATAACTAAACTAGAATTGATCCTGAATTTACATATAGATTTGAATTTGAACTGAATAAGAATTAAAAAAGAATTTCGTTATTTAGGATATATAACTATTTGCCTTCTAATTCTGATGTATTTACCCAACTGCATTTAATAAGAGCAATACAATTCCCACTCTAAGGAAAGAAATATGATTTTGCATGGGGACTATTTGGTAAACACCTAGCTTATGGATTTAATCATTTCTATAATTCATAATTGAATGAATAAATATGTTTACCAATTCCATATAGAGCAGGAAATTTACAAATTTCACAACCCTATTAAAAAGATATCACTCACCATAAAGAACAAAACCTTACAAAAGAACAACTTTCACAAGCCTATCAATGCAAGAGAGATTGCTTGTTTATACTGTAATTTTCAGCATTTCAGCAGCAGATAGAAGGCTTTGAAGTAGAGAGTGCAAAAACGCGCATTTCTACAATATGCATACTCTCCCCCCTCACCCCCCCTTCTGTATTCTTTACATTAAGATAAAATCGAGTTTAATCGTAATTATATTATTTATGCTTCCATATCAAAACAAATAATACAACATATCGCTTCATATTTTATTTTACATAAAAATATATCGAACCAACATATAAAAACTATATCGCAATTACTATTTTCAAAAATAACATCAACCACGCCAATTATCGAACATGAATTTCTAAATATCATAAAATTACATTATCATCAGTTTTATATTCCCCAGATAGCGAAGCTACGGGGTTCTTACTGACGGACACAAAGTACTACGCAACTAGCAGAGCAGATTGCCTTGAGATCACAAAATCTCTCACAGAGAATTCTTTGCAAAGCCAAAGAGGCAATTGGAAAGAAGATGATGCCTGATTTTCAGTTGAATTTTCGACATTGGATGGTGTGGCAGAGATTTCACGCGTGATTTTTACTTTTGTGTGGAGATGTGATGATTGATTGATGGAGGCATTCCCAAAAATCCAAGAAATCCAAAAAATCCAAAAATCCAAAAAACACAAAAATCCAAAAGAAAACAGACCTATGTTTGGATCAGGAATAGATGTGTGTGTTTTTTTTTGATTTTTTGTTTTTTTGGACTTTTGGATTTTTTTGGATTTCTTGGATTTTTTGGATTTTTGGATTTTTGTTTTTTTTTGGAATTTTAGATTCTTTCCCAGCAGATTGTGCCACTTAACAAGTGTGTGTGTGTGAGAAAGCAGATGTCTTTTGATCACATACTCTTTTGGCTGATTTCGTGTGTAAAACATAGAAAAAGCGCACCCCCACAGCGTCCCCTTTTCTTTATTAACACGTTGGCTCGAGGGTTTTAATACGACAGAAGCTCAGTCAACAAAATGTAGCCTCGACCTTGGAGCAATGAAAAAACAAGAAATGACGTCAGCTCGAAAGGATTAAAATACAGATTTCTAATTGAAATCCTTCGCCCAACGATTTTGGTACTATTCAACGGGTATCATGTGGGAAAATTGGTCTGTGGCGGACTGCCACATGATTCAATATTTAAAACGACTGCAAAGAACCAACGTCTGCAGAGCATCCCTCCTGCTATGAAAAGCCGATGCGTTGGGATTCTTTTTTGGGGGCGCTTGTGACAACGCCAGCGCTGTTTCTGGTCATTTTGGAGTGCTGATGCTCCTCAGCGGGCGCGTCAAAGTGTGAAATGTCCGAGCCAAGGCCGATAGGCAGGTGCAGCGCCTGTTTGGGATGTGAGCTGATGCCCAGATTGGCGGTGACACTTTTGTTTCGGCGTGTTGATGGTTGCCTGCAGTGGAACCCACCTTGGTTTGCTGAGGACAAGTCCTCCGGCTTGGTTTTTGTAACGCAGAAATTTGTTCGATGCAATCTGCCGAGCGAGAGGCCTCACATGCTTTTCATCTCAATGTCCCATGAAGGCCTCTGGGGAGCGGTTTCTTTGTGTCAGGCACTCTCACCTTTGCGCGTGGCGATCCTGCAGTATGATGAAATTTTGTTTTTAATCCAACAATGGACATATCAGGAACCGCCTTTCCGCTCCGTGATCTTGTTGCGCAGTTTGGGCGCAGCCCCCTTTGCAGAGGATCATGACCTTCATGAGACCCTCTGACGGTGGCGCCAGGATTTCCCGTCATGTGAGGTTTGCTGCAGATGACTGCGGTATCGGCCTGTATTGGTTGCGCACCTGTTTTCAGGCCGACGTCGACGGAGACTTGCAAAAGTCCACGTTGAGAGGCTGACATTGGATCGTCGCGAACTCGTGGATACAAAGTTTCGCGCGGCCCTCGAAGCTGGCTGCTGCTTGCGTTTGGAAGCTTGATGTCCTGCAGGTTTTAATGAGGCTTGATCAGGTCAAGCCGATCCATGTGTTGCAGGGCCTTTATATTGTGCAAGTTGCCGAAACCAATGACATTTGTGTTCTTTAACCCATCACATGGGGCCGAACGTGCTTTAAGTGAGGCTAAACTCACCAATGTGCTCCCACAGGCAGTGTCAGTAGGGAAAACGGGTCAGGTGAATTGGCGACTGCGACCCCCAAAACAAGAGCTTTGTGATGGTCTGACGAAGGTTGTCTCCTTGTATCTGGTGCAGTTAGAGGAACCCCGAACACACCCAACAAAGTTGGTTGAGCACTTGTGCGTGCCTCTTCCCACTGCAGCCTCTCCGTGCCTAATTCAATGCCAATTCGATGCAAGGAGGCTTCTGGCTAGACCGATGGCTTCTGAGTGCCAAAAAGGTGGTTTGCGTGGGCTTCACGAAGGTGTGCATATGTGCTGCGACGACAGCGATGTTTTTCCCCCCTCCCTCTCAAGAAACTGTGGCATGCATGAGAAAAACCGGGGCCAAACTGGGAGTGACATAGTAAAACGAAGAGAGTCAGGATGGTTGTCAGCAGGAAAGTCCTTGAAACTTGAGGTCTCACAGAACATCCGTTGTGTTTGCAAGTGGCAAGGCCAAAGCAGGCAAAAGCAGCGCAACAGGTCAATATACAATTGACAAACAAGACAGCCTGCACCCATGTTTTTTCTGCAAGCGAGGATATTTGATTCTCTTGATTCTCTTACGCTTGAGCAACACATCCGTGGTTAAGACATTTGGCTCAAGCATGCTTGGAGCTGCCCTGGCAGCATTACGCTTGGTGGGTCGTGTTCGCGGGAAGCGCCTTGGCGGTGTTGGGAGGGATGTAGCGTGACAGATTTGTTGCAGCGCGTACACCCGAGAATTGTTTGGGACGTGTCCACACATTTAACTTGCTGTTTCCGCCAGCGCTGCGGGGCTTTGAGCGAACAAACGTGAGTGCGACAATTGGTTCTGTCGCCAACATTCCACTTTTGAATGTTGAGGATTCCAATGATTGGCATCTTGCTTCAAAAGAACCGGGTACCGCGACTGCACCGGCATCAGCCCGACAACGAAGGTTTTCGGACTATGCACGGAAGAGAGCTGCCTTGAAGAAGGCTCGTGAAGCGGCCCAATCGAGGAGCCTTAAGGGTGTAGAAGTGTGGACTGGGAAAACATATGAAACAAGATAATGTTTCAACTTAACTTTCCTGGGTAAATACCGTATGTTCAGTCGATGTTTTTTTCTTCTTGTTCCTGCTCTCTGTTTATTTATTTATTTATTCATATTTTTTTGTTTTTTTTTCTTATTGTTTTTTTTGAACTGTTGCCTTCGCGGTGCTGGGTCTTGTTTCTTTTCTCCCCTTGCGAAATTGACATTTAACCAAAGGATTTTTCAAGAGCCTCAGTTCAAACCAAAATTTCATTCTGTATGCCAGCTGGATTCAGAATGTGAAAATTCTGTGCAGGAGCTCACGAAGACTAGCTAGGACCTTTGAATACGATGAGTTCGATGAAGAGGAGCAGAACCCTGTGTCCAGCCATGCCGTATCACACTTCGACCTTACTATATAAGTCTCATCTCAGGTTTCTCCGTGCTTCCTGGCAGATGTTAATCATCCATTCTCTGGCACACCGGACCGACGTTCGTTGGAGTCGCCGAGTCCGGGCGTTTCTCTTTGCGAGGAAGCGGAAGAGGAGGTGGTCACGGACGACGAGGAGCTGGTGGATGTGGACTCGGAGGAGGAGGCCTGCCCTGCGATGTCGTTGAGAGAGCTTTTACGATTGATTACCAATTCATCAGTATTGATGGAAGACCGGTGGATGTCCGTTTTCCTCTGTATACAGGTGGTGCCAAGGGAGTGAGATGACCCTTACATCTCCCAAGGGAATCATCCAATAGTTACTTCTGCCCAAATCGAGCTAAGACTGATCCGGTTTCGCGTTTTCCGCTCTTCATCCATCGTCGTACTTATATAGACATACACATGATAGAAAAGGTTCTTCGGACCCCCAACTCCTTTTGTTAGAACGTTAAGAAGTAACAAGAAGCTATTAGGGGCTCCTGGCCTTTCTACTAGGAGCGATCGGACCCTACTAGGGGCTCCTGGCATCGCTACGAACGGAGCAATCTTGGCTTCGACATGCTTCGACCATAACAAGATTGGTCTTAGAAGCTACTAGTAACAAGTGCCTTAGTAGTAGGAACAAGGACGCTAGTAGTAACAAGTGCATCGCTTCTAGTAACAAGTGCCTTACTAGTAGTAACAAGAAGCTACTAGTAGTAACTAGTGCATCGCTTATTAATTATATTCTAATTTACTACTAGTGCCCCTAGTAGCGTCCTTGTTACTACTAGTAAGGCACCTGTTACTACTAGCGAGGCACTTGTTACTAGTAATAACAGGACGGTCGGTCTTCCTCGTAGGATCGACCGATGTTTGGAGATTTGGAGATGCGCCCGGACGCAGGCAACGCGCGAAGCGCGGCGGGGGCGTCCGTTGGTCGGAAGCTTCGCGGGTCCGTTTGGTGAAGGGCACATGGTGCGGCACTTAAGGGAACATTTATGTAGGTTGGTGGCCATCACTACTTGGGTGAAGGCCATCGCTACTGGGGTGGAGGCCATCGTCATTAGGTTGAGGGAACATCTGTGTACAGTAGGTAGGCAGAATAAATTAGGCACTGTTGGACTCGTCCGTGCGAGTCCGCTGGCATAAGGGAAGGGGTATTTCGACCACGACGACATGTATCACATTGTAGCACCTGAACGATCTTGCTTTGCTGACCTAAACCGCATTTGAGAACTAAAGAGAAAACGCACACGCTCCAAAAGTATGTGCATTTCGCTGTAGCTGCCAATGCAGGCAAAAGGTTTGCAAAGGGAAAAGGACAGATCGACCACTTTTCGGGGAACAGGTTTCTTCTGATGAACCATGAGCAACAATGGTTCTTCTGGATGGTGGGAGGCTGTCTTGTGGACAAGGAGCTGGGTCATGCCGGTGGTGTGTCTTTTTTGGGGACAACATTTTGTGATACACTGACGAAGAGCAATTGATCGTGTGGAACCGTGCACCTATGTTTTTCTCCGTGCTCGACAATCCTTCAAGTGGCAAAGGCGGTGATGATGAGCAGCTCGGCAATTAGTAACATGCCACATGTACTCGTAGTTTTGATTGTTCTTTTTTCGTTGTTTGTTCTTAACTCAGCCAAGGATGGACGACGCTTGGCAGATCAAACTCTCAGGGAGTATCATAGATTGCCGAGGCAGATCGATGCCTTTGACCTAAGGAATCTGCCGATGAAAACCAACTCACTGAGTGGGACGAAGTTTTGGATGATTCCGAGATCCAGGCGCGTTGTGTTCCGTCTTGGTACATGACGAGAAACTTGGGAAGATGGTCAGGCTGTCAGGCTGTCTGTACTTGCTCGCACGATTTCGCTTCAGGAACTCAACAAATTGGTCAGGGAAATGCATCCAAATCTCGTGCCACCGCTGGATGTTCACGAGGAGGCGGAACTGCATCCTTACAGCATCACACAGAGGGTCACCAAAGAGGTATTTGTGATGCTTTTTGTAACAAGGACGCTACTAGTAACAAACGGCATCACTAATAGATGCTACTAGGGGCGCTCCTGGCCTTATAACTTAGGAACAAGAAGCTACTAGTAACAATCATGCGTCAAAATCACAGTATTGCACTGTTGGGCTTGTATACAGGAGTTGAAACTTCGAAGAGAACTTGTCAGGGCCTTGGCTTCTGGCCCCAGTACCAGTTCTGTGCCATGGAAAAAGAATATGGAGAAGTCCATTTTTTCTGGGCAAAACCTCAGGTGCCAAGTAAGTATCCTGAAACAAGCATTTTCTAGAACCTGCTTGATTCTTAAGTTCTTCTCTCCTTTGGGTCCTGGCGGGGCAGCTTGAACGAACAAGTCCACACAACGTTGGCGATGGCCTCCACCCTACTAGCAACCTACGAGCAAGAGGAACCTCATAGGGATGGCATCCAAGCTAATAGCCATGGCCTCCAACCTACTAGCAAAAGAAACCCAATAGCGATGGCCTCCAACCTATTAGCAATGGCCTCCAACCTACTAGCAAAAGACACCCAATAGCGATGGCCCCCAACCTACTAGCAATGGTCTCCAACCTACTAGCAAAAGGAACCCCAATAGCGATGGCCTCCAACCTATTAGCAATGGTCTCCAACCTACGAGCAAAAGGAACCTAATAGCGATGGCCCCCAACCTACTAGCAATGGTCTCCAACCTACTAGCAAAAGGAACCCAATAGCGATGGCCTCCAACCTACTAGCAATTGTCTCCAATCTACTAGCAATGGTCTCCAACCTGTTAGCAATGGTCTCCAATCTACTAGCAAAACGAACCCAATAGCGATGGCCTCCAACCTAGTAGCAATGGCCTCCACCCTACTAGCAATGGTCTCCAACCTACTAGCAATGGTCTCCAACCTACTAGCAAAAGGAACCCAATAGC